CCCTTTAACAGATATAAATGTTAGATTAAATTAAATTAATTTCTCTAGTTAAAGCAAAGTTTGTATCATCTTGTCAGAGTTGTAAAAGCACATTCTCTAGAGAGGTATCATTTGCTGTAGCAGATAACTTTCCTTTAGCAAGTATTGACTCAACATCTAAACGAAAGTCTTCAAATTAACTTTCACCAGCAGTATTTTTTTTAAATACAACAAGACTAACAATTCTTGTTACTTTAGTTACAAACATATCGCAAGCAAATCATGAGCTTTCTATTGTCTTTTTTCCCGTGTGCAACTTTATCACCCTTAAGGCTTCGAGTTTTCCTTTGACTTGGCTACTTTTAGCTAAACTAAGTGAGTTAGCAGCTTCAAGTTCCCCGTCTGTGTCAGTACTCAGTCTAAAGTGATGCCCCGGTCTGACAGGAGAGGGATTCCTGTGAGACTACAACTGCTCTTTCATTGAGACAGAGGAGCAGTGTTGTGATTAGAGCCAACATGGTTCCTCATTAGCCTACGAGTGCGGAGAGACTCAGGCAATTACTCCTCATCCCTGAGTGCCGTTTTATGTTTCCTGCAAAGGGAACGTGCACTTTCGCGCACTATTCCTTCCCCCGTACACGCTACGCTGCAGGTTCTGATGTGCTCCGATCAGGCAGCTTACAATATGAATATGAAAGAGGCCGAGTATACATTTGTTCTGCATTAACTCAAAGTAGGCTGACAATGTAGCACTGATCTTTCATTTGCCTTACATCTCTTTAGGGAAAATATGGCGTATTACAAGGATGTTTCCAAAAAGCCTTTTCATAGGTCATGAAAAGACAGTTATTTCATGATCTGAAGGTTACCCTTATGTTTTTTGCGAGAGGCCTGTTTTGAGGCTTTCTGAGCTGATGAGCAACAACGTAGATGTTATTTTCGTTCTGCAGCTTATTGAAAGATGCTTTGATGTAAGGAGAAGCACATTCTGTCATTTGGTTTGTTATGAGACAGAATATGGTAGGAACGTACAACAGAGGGATTTGTAATTTTCAAAGCAGCGAAATCATATCATTAAGTCTCATATCAAGTCAAATGAAATCAAACAATGTTATTTGTGGCATAAAGAAATGTCACAGTGTCAAGCAAACACCCTTTCATTTTGCTATGGTTTTTGAAACACCACCTTTACAATCCAATCTTTTTCCTAAATATACACCATTTCTAAATATATATTATATATATATATATATATATATATATATATGATTAATTCCACTCCTAACACCATGTTTACAGTCTGATGGACAAACAAACATGAGGCTAATTCTTATTCTATTCAAGTTACAGCTGGAATCATACACACAGTGTTCAAGAGGGAATTCACTTTCTTTACTTGACATGTCCAGACATTAATCTTCCTGACAAAATAACAAGCTACAGCGGCGCCAGGGTTTAAAATGAGCGTGGAGTAACGCAAGCGCAGGCTTTTATTTAGACGACCGTGCCGAACTTCATGAAGCTGCCCCATCGCTGTGACGACCATTCATCAGTGCAGAGACGCAGTGGCGGGTTTGCACACGCACCACTGAGCCTTCTGCTCGGCACACTCACGTGGACGGTCTCAGTGAGGCAGACGTCTCCTAATTTGGAAAAGGTGAGCTATGATGTTATAAAGGGCTCTAGCAGCAATAGAAGTACTTTTGTCTTAAAAGTGATGTAATTCTTTGTTTCACATTAAAGGGTTAGTTCGCCCAAAAATGAAAATTCTGGCATCACTTACACTCATGTCATTCAAAACCTGTATGACTTCTGCAGAAAACACAAAAAAGATGACTTCCATTGTATAGACCAAAAAATATTTGACAAAAGATCTTCTTTTACTGTATGTTGCACATAAATCACACATGTTTGGAACTACAGTACATGAGATTGTGCTGGAATAAATATTTGGCAACTAAAAAATTAATTATTCATAGGTTAATACCAACAAAAAGTGGGCAGGGCTATATGTTTACCTGACCAATGGCAGACTGGAAGAGTGTTCAAGAAGTCAATATGTTGGCAACAGAAATTAGAATTATTATTATTTTTTTAATACAGTAACAAATGCCTCTGAGTTCTTTTTAATGACTTAAAAGCATACAGCACATCTAGTTTACACTGTTACACATTTATGCATTTGACAGACATTTTATCAGTTCTTGCTTTCCCTGGGAATCAAACCCATGATCTTGGCATTGCTAGTGATACAGGGAGGATCAACTAGTGTAGTCTGACTAGTGTAGTGTACTAATGTAGTAGAACTAGTGTAGTCTGAATCCTGAATAAATAACTCTGAATTGGTTCTTTCAGTGAATCAAAAACACTGTAAATCTAAAGTAGTATTTTATAAAATTGAACAAATATGTTCAGTATTATTATTTGATTAGTTAAGGCCAATTATTATCACCTCTCAAAAGTGTGTTTTTGCAATAATTGTTTAAAATAGAATATATTTAGTTAATTTGCAAAAACCGATAAACGCCACTTTAAAAAAAATGAGCCGATTACCGTGCATTATTCTCCGCATATAGCGCGGTCTGAACCCTAAACACGTTTTGTCAAAAAAGCCGGTTTTGTCCACTTTCAAAAGGCATCGCGAGTTCACGTTTTACTGCAGAAGCCGACAAGCGTCGTTGTTGTTTTTGAACAGAAGCCGATAAGTCCATTTTAGCGAATCAGCGCGCTGTATTCAGTTTGAAAAGAAGTGCTATCTGAGAGGAGTTTCGTCAAAGCTGACTAAAAGTGATCAAGGATGGATCATTTCGACGAACTTGATGAGCTTGTGATATCTTCTTCAGGGCGTTTCTTCGGAGCATAAAAGAATATAATATGAAGAATGCTGAGATCCAAACAACATTGGACCCTACTGACTCTAACTGCATGGCGGTAAAAAAATAAATAAATAAATAAATTTTTTCAAAATGTTTCACAGAAGAAAGTCGTAGAAGTTTGGAAAAACATGAATTATTTGTTGGTGATTTTTTTTTTTATGTTAAGGACAAATTGACAATGTCAGAATGGCCTAGTATTTGGTTTGTCCTCCTTTTGTGCAAAATTATAAATATTCAATTTTAGTAAACAATCATTTTTATTAATATTATTTTATGTCATTGCATTTTTTGTTTTACTTATATATTATAGCACTGCAACGTGACAAAATAAAAATGTTAAAATATATATTTTTAGTAAAACATACTAAAATACTAATACCAAGTTTTAATTAGACTCATAATTCAAGATTTTCAATATAGTTTCAGACTTTAAAAAACAAATTCAGACGAAAAAAGACTGTTGCCGCCTGACAAGCATAAAAGCAAATGTCCAGCTAAACCCCTAAAAGTTTAAGACAGACAATTAATGGAGCATTCAAATTCACTTCAACGTAGAACGTTTACGGTCCATTTTAGAGTCTTCGAAATGTGAGGCCGGGCCCACAGGCACATTATCGTGACTGAGGGAATTTTTAGATATTTATTTAGCCCATGTGAGTGTTTATTAAAAGCCTAGACGTGTTGTTATTTATGCATGTTTGTGTCCATTAGAGACTTCTTCTCCATCCCACTGTTTTAGCCATCCAACCATCCATCTCTTCGGGACAACCTGTTTCCTGCCGTGCATTATTTTAATCTTCGGCCTCCTCCTCCTCAGACGCAAAAAGAAAACGTGCTATTTTACATGCACTCAAATTCATAACCTATCATTTTTTAGTCAGGCATTAGAGAAGGCACCTCATCTAAGATTTATGACTGACGGTTTCCCCCTTCCACCCCTCAGTCTAATGGTATAAAAGAGACAATGTTTTAAACATTAAAATGAAAACCATTTACAACTATGATCAAAAGAGAACATTCGTGCATTAAAGTTTAAAAGGCGAGGAGAAGTATGGACGCGCGGACGGAAGGAAAGAGGAGGGGAGGAGACAGAGGTAAAGAGGAGAAGACACAAGTATGCTAGTGAATACTCCTACTGAAAGAAGAAAGAGCCTTAAAGTGCTTTTGCGCTTCGTTGCAAAACGCTGACCTGTAATGAATGTGAACTACTTTCCCTGCCTATATCGCTCCGATCCTCCCGTCCTCGGCCTTTCTGAGCACTTTCTTAAACACATGCTGTTTGGATGGGGTGATGCCACCATTTTTACGAGTCCCCAAAAAACACAACAAACTTAAAGACTGAATGATGTAGAATAAAGTATGCTTTCAGGATATCTCCTTGTTGAATTTGACTTTACAGGTTCGGATGGTGCTTTGAACACAAATATATAACAACTTCTTTATTATGAGCATTAATTTACTTTTCATTTTGAGTTTGAGCATTGATTTAGTTTTAGCATTATTTTATATAGATTTAATAAAGAAAAAACAATAATGATGATAATGTGTACATACATTACATTACATTACAGTATGACTCAAGATTCAAACTTTGGCCAGAAATTGAAGTTAAAGTAAAGAGACCACAGACAAGACCATATTAATATTATTTATATAAATCTCAATCAAATTATAACTAGGGTGACCCTAGATCCTCTTTTTTTTCCCTGGACATGTCCTGGCTGGGATTTCTAAATTGCCTATAATGTCCAGGTTTTGGCTTTGTTTCTGTGGCCTCTAAATACATTATATGTACGCATATTTGCATTGCTTTGATGAGACGTCAGACTTAAAGTCAGAATTAAAGTAAAAAGACCATAGACACCTAGACAAGACCATGTAAATATACTTAATATGTCTTGCTGATCTTTTGATGAAAAAAAAAACACATCCATAAATAAAGTGTAAATTAAAATGTACATTCTCTAAAATAATTTTCAAAAACTTGATACTGACACACAGCATTGCAAATTTTGTTGTAAATTATACAAAGACTACTCAAGTATGTTTTACAAGAAAATACTATTTCAGTTTTTTTTTACTTCAAAATTTGTTAAAATCGTTTCTACACCAATACTTTTTAATCGGATCAATATGGACTCATACCTTGCAGATTCTGTAGGGGGAGTGTCATGATGCCACCAGCAGCAGCGGCTGCCACCAGGCCCTGTATGTTGGCAGCAGTGGGCAGAGACAGAACCAGGCCCTGCTGCCCACCCAGATGCCCGCCAGCGTTAAAGGGGATCAGAATGGGCTGGTTGAGACCAGGAGCTCCTCCGGACATCACTCCACTAACTGCTGACGCCAGCTGCTGAGCAACCAACAGAGACTGAAAAGAAAGCAAATAGGAAGTTAATTAAGTTTTTTAAAGTACGATGTGAAGCATCACAGTCGAGTTCTTTTTTTTATAATTTTATGTTTTATTTAAAATTATTTTCCAAAGTTTGGGATCAGTAAGACTTGTAATGTTTTGTAAGGAAGTCTCTTATGCTTATCAAGGCTGCATTTATTTGATCAAAAATACAGAAAAAAATGTAATCTTGCAAAATGTTGTGTTATGTTATGGTTTCAATTTTAATATCCTTTAAAATATCATTTATTTCTGTGATGCAAAGCTGAATTTCCATCAGCCATTACTCCAGTATAAAGTGTCACATGATCCTTCAGAAATCATTCTAATATGCTGATTTATTATTAGAATTATCAATGTTGGCAACTGTTGTGCTGCCAAATATTTTTTGGGAAACTGTGACACTTTTTTCAGGATTCTTTGATGAATAAAAAGTTATAAAGAACAGCATTTATTGAAAATATTTATTCATCCAGGTGGATGCTACACACTGGTGGTGGTTGAGGAGATTCCCCCCTTCTATGTAAAGCGCTTTGAGTGCCCAGAAAAGCGCTATATACATGTAAGAAATTATTATTATTATAAAATTTTTCTAACAATATAAATCTTTGCTATCACTTCTTATCGATTTAACACATCTTTGCTGAATAAAAGTTTTCATTTCTTTCAAAAAAGAAAGAATAAAGATTTACTGAACCCAAACTTTTGAACGGTAGTGTATATTGTTAGAAAA